TCCCCCTCACTATTTGTCGTCATCAAGCTTGAGCTCCCTTGTCTCCCATAGCCCTTCCCTACCAATCTCAGACACGAACGCGTCTTCTCATATACCAACCTCAACATGTCTCCCCGCAACAGCGTCAATGGCAAGCCTCGAAGCGATGGCGAAGAGATGGATCATGTGCATACAGCCCAGAGCATCCCCATCTCGCCAGAGTTGTTCGAGCAGCTTTATCTTCAACCACAGAATAGAGTCAAGGGAGATCTTCGAAAGACCTTTGGCAACCCTACTCCAGTTGGTATGTAGCACTGTCTCCAATAGTCCCTACGATACTTACCAGTACAGCTTTGGCGGGATTCTTGCTGTGCACCACGCCACTATCCATTGGCTTGCTTGGATGGCAGGGATCTGGAGGCTTTGTTGCCGCTGCGAACGTGTAGGTATCTTCACCCCTTTTACCGTATGCATTGGCTAATGGATCATAGCGGTGCCTACCTTGGCCTGGGCGGCCTGCTTCTAGTTTTGGGAGGCGTTGGCGAATGGATTCTCGGTACCAAGTAACTCTTCGTCGTTTCAATTCCTTAGCTAACATCTGTCTTCTAGGAAACACCTTTCCCTCGACCATTTTCTTCACTTTCGGAGGCTTCTTCATCACCCTCGTTACAACTATTGACCCTGACTCTGGCGCATACAGCACATATTCGACTGATGGTACCGCTGCAAATGGTCTCGCTCAACCACAATTTTACTCGACTTTCGCATTCTTTCTAGTTGCCATGGCTATATTATGTACATTCTACACTATAGCGGCTGTTAGAACCAACATCGCTCTGTTTTCCATCCTCCTCCTTCTTATTCCTTGCTGTAAGCTCGACCACCTCTCTTTCATACAACACTCATTAACCTTGTGACAGTCTCTTGCCTTGCCGCTGCCTTCTTCGCCGTTTCACAAGGGAAGGCTGATCTCGCGCTCAAGTGCCAGCATGCCGGAGCGGGCATATTGTTTGCTATAACATTGATCGGATGGTATTTGTTCGGGTCCCTTATCCTCATGTCGGTCGACTTCCCCATCATGCTACCTCTCGGCGATCTCTCGACCATCATCCGCGGCAAAAGCGATGCAGCAAAGGATGTAAGCAAAACAGTTTAAGAGTGACCACATTGCCTAAGGGTCATTGTCCTGTCGATGGGAGGATCTCCCTGTTATATTGAAAAAGGAGATGCTGATAATCAAGGTCTTGGGAAGCAATATGTCTTGTAAAAGGTTCTCTTTGCGTAGTATGTTGCTTTTTCAGCTTTCATATCTACGCTTTGGGGCTCGACTATAATGTACCATGATTTAATTACTGTCAGTATGACGAAGTACAAAGGGCTTCCCGCCATAATTGACTTGCTTTTAATCCTTAACTGCTCTTGCTATCTTGTGATACAACGCAATTTAGTGTGTACTATTCAAGAAACATACAATCGTTAAATCAATTGAAGAAAATGGGCACTTGGGGATCTGTCTCACAAAGGTCTTGGCACGAGTCCGGCCCCAAGCTTTATCTTATCAGAGATAAGCAATCAAGATGTCCTGTTTAGGAAAAGCTCAAAATGACTCGCATCCAGCTCATCAGAGTCTCATTCGCTGAAATACGCTGAACTCCGACCCTGAAATCGGCTGATGACTACCCTGTACCTTCTCCGTTTCGACTCCCAATCTATAAATAAGAGGCTTGGGAAGTGATCGAAAATCTCTTGCAGGCATTAAGTCTAGACTTGTGTATTTTACGTTTGTCAGCAAGCGTAACTCTTAAGCTTGCTAAATAATGATCAGTTGCTCTTGCGAAAGACGTTGTTAGTATTAATATACAGCGATGAGAGGAAACCTATCACATAATCTACGCAGATACAGAATGATCTTGAACATCTTCTTTCTCGCCACGTCTGCCATGGCCAGGCGTATGAGCCACCTCTTCTCTTTGCGCCATAATTGTTTCGAGGTTCTGATCCACCAGTTAGCATCATATATCGGCCAACATACGAGAGAGAGACAAGACTTACAGGCCCCTCAAAAGTCTTCCCGCGAGCAATCCAATAAATCGCAATGGCAAGACAGCAGATCGCTATGACGACAGAAACATAATCTGTGATGATGTGAGCTGACGAAGAATTACAAGAGACAGAAAATACGTACTCATGGTGTTTCCAGTGACATGTAACGACGGGGGGAAGCAGAAAAGCTGTGCTCATGTTAGTGGCTCGTTTCCCTTTGCTGGAATCCAACATACCACTGAAGTTACCGAAACATACAAACAAGCTGTCCAGTTGGCCAGATATCCCCAGAACTTTCCAAGCTTCCACGGCGTATGAGGGTGCTGATGCGGAGCGAGGATACCTCGGCCTCGAATGACCAAAACGAAAATCGGGAAAGCATATGATATGTTTAGGAGAATCGTGCAAGACGCGATAAACGCGTTGAAGGCCACTGTAGGTCCTAGGTAAAGGGCACCAAATAGCACATTAAAGATGTAGGTGAAGATGATCGTACGAACTGGAACTTCCAACTTCGGGTTGATGTGGTTGAAATATCGAGAGAAAAAGAAGCCTTTATCTCGAGCCATGGAGTATATCAATCGACTCGTGGTGGTGATAGATCCGTTTGTGCCGTGGATGAAACATAACCCCAGCATGCAACTGATGATGGTAGATGCTGCTCTGCTGTTCGTGGCTTGGTCGAAAAGAGCGATCAGAGGCTGGCCGGTAGGAGAGCTGACCAACTTGTCAACATCAGTCAGACAGAAGAGGATGACTAGGATGAAGATCAAGCCACTGCTGGGGTCAGTATTCTTTCCAAATTGCGTTGGACAGGATTTTGATACTCACGTAGAACCGCCAACGCCGATAGCATACACAATTGCAAGGGGAGCATCCAGATGGGGGTTAGGCATTTCTTCAGTCATATGCAGAACCGCGTCAAATCCAATCAATGATAAAGCGGATTGAAGTAGACCTAGAAGCCATGCCATTCCATCTGACCATCCCGTCTCGTTGTTGAATGTTGTGAAAACGAACTCAGCGCTGGTCTTTTCTGACATGGACAATAGAATGATGCTGATGATGACAACGCTTAGAATTGACCAGTAGACTTGGTAACAATGTTAGAAAGCTATATCTCGGGTTCCGTTAGGGTAAACGTACGAGCGAAGTTGCTCCAAGGCCCAAGGATCGAATTCCCCCAGATGTTCACGATAGTCGAAAATGTGATGATGGCAAGGAAGACAAGGTATGTTGTCCAAGAATCGACTGGCGTGGATCTTCCCGACGCGACGACAATAGCGGCAGCTATAAACATGGCTGATTCCATTTAGCGAAAGGGCGTCCTTGGTTGGTAAGGAAGATTTACCAGAAAAGATCGCTTCTGTTGTTACAAGCGTGAGCCAGCCAGCAATATTGATCCATCCCGCACAAAGGCTCTGAATATCATTAGCTTCTCCACATGTTATCATGCCGGAGACTTGGACATACCAGAAACCTCTTCCATCGCTCACTGCTGAGAGCGTATACGAAATGATACTGTCCGCCTGCTGTTGGCCAGATAGCTGCAAGCTCGCCGAGACTAAACGCTAGAGCAAAGTTGCAAGCAACACAAAAGATGAAGCCGTACAGGAGCGCGACTGGGCCTCCGGACGGCATTACGATTCCAATTGTGCCGCCTAACGCGATCCAAGTGCTGTAGAAGTCAGGTACTGAGTTTTTTCGTTAACAAGGGAAATGCCGATCTACTCACTTGAGAATAGCAAACGTCATTGCGACCATAGTCAACCTGCTCAGACGCGGCCGCAGGTGCCCTTCTGTAACCTGATGAGGAGTCTGATCGGCCATGGTGAAAATAGCTGGCGATATCTGCCAAAACTTGATCTATGCGAGTCCTTATTGCTCTCAACAGTAAACACGTTCAACACGATGGTATATATCTTAAATAAACCCCATCACCAAGTGTTGATAGACTGCAACCGAGCTGATAAGAATGCCAAGGAGTTCCCCCAGGGTCAAGAGTGCCGAGATAAGCCTTTCCAGGGATGCTCGTTATCGTGCGGGGAAATGAAGCGAGATCGCGGTCTCTGGTGTAACCCACGCGTTGCACTAGTCACAATTAGGATGGCACAGTCTGGACTTACTTTGCTGGGAGTAGCGGCATTGCGAACCCCTTTATGGTTTGGCCACTTATCTACGTTCGCCGCATGGAGACAGACGTCATTTAGATAGGATATCGAGATATCTTGAAGCGCGTGACGGTTTAGTCAACGGAGTTGCGGCTGCGTCGTGCCCAGCAAAAGCCTCCACCAGCTTCTGAGCTTCAGGTCGCAGAGCGAGGTCGGCGAAAAGTACATTGCATCCGCCATTCAAAAGCTGTTGAGCAAATGCGAGGTTGATGCCACTGCCAGCGCCAGTAACAATGGCTGTTTTGCCACGGATAGAATGAGACATGCTCTGCGTATTCCTTTGCTTTCGGTGCGATTAGTATGGAGTGGCAACGAGAACAGCAACTCGAATGATTAGCCCCTCGTTACATATTTGAATCATGTCCTTCACTCCTCCTTCTATAATGTGCCCCTCCTCGTGCATATGCCAAGAATCCCTGACAAACCATGGTGTATTGGAGATATGTGCGGGGTGATAGCATCCAATTCATGCGGGGTCAGATTTACGCTGCTAGTAATGCTATCTGGACTAGATTCGATTCAAAGCCTTCTATGGATCCGACAGACAACTTTGAACACTTGATCACGAAGGGGGAACCTTGGTGTTGGTCCCACAGTGTTCCAGACTCACCATACCGAAAGTAGTATGTGTTGCCTGAACACCTCTGAGGCTCTGCCCATTCCCTCTACGAGCACGCAATCATGTACTCCTAGTATTAAAGACCTGGATAGGAGGCTCAAGTCAGATAGTGAGCCTTGTCACGCTAACTATTGTTCGAGCCAGCACCATGGAACGAAAGACAGATACCAGGACTTACAAGCTGAATCATGCGATGTGAGTTCACTCTGAGCCGCTCACTGAACCTGTGCATACTCATCCTCAAGCTAATAGGATTCGTGTGAGGGATCCCAGAAGAACGAGTAAGTAAAACCACCATTACCGAATTCGTGTGGATATACTGAACAGCTCTCGTACAGTCCAGTTTTACGAGCTTCTTGGCCTTGGTGTTGTTCAAAAGCTTTCATTTCCTGAGGATAAGTTCGATCTGTACTTCCTTGGTGTCGACAGCCCAGGTTCGCCATCGCATGGAAAGTTCACCTTCGATCGTCAAGGCTTGATCGAGCTCACTCACAACTATGGCACTGAGAGTGACGAGAATTATCGAGTGAGCAATGGCAATGAAAAACCTTATCTCGGCTTTTCCCATATCTCAATTTCAGTGGAGGATGTGCAGTCTACTTACCAGACGCTGGCCAAAGCTGGTTACACGTTCCAGCAGGATGTCTCCTCCGGGAACGAGCAGGTGATTGCTCTGGATCCAGACGGCTACTGGGTCCACATCACCGAGCAAAATTCTCCGAGTAAGAATGTTCTTTCAGATGCTACTGATCAGTCTAGGGTTGTATGTCTGGACCTGCCTTTCCTATGATGGATCATTGCGAACTGACACTGATGCAGAATCAATACGCCCTGCGAGTCACCGACGCCACTCAATCCGTTCGCTACTACACAGAGAATCTTGGAATGAAGCTGATCAAAACCCTCGACAGCGAGAACGGAAGCTCAAAGACATATCTTTAAGGGTATCCCTCAACCGGTCCCTTCACCGGAACCGAAGACTTGTCACGCCGCGAAGGATTGCTCGCTCTCATCTGGCAAGGTGGAGAGAACGAGATAACACAAGTACATAATGGAAACGATCAACCTCAAGGATTTGGCCATATTTGTAAGTTAATTCATCTTGTCTCTATGGTAGAACAAACTGACTTTCAAAGGTGTGACTGTCGATAATATTGATGCAGCATGTGCGCGATTGGACGGACTGAACGTTGTATGGAAGAAGAAGCTCACAGATGGAAAGATGAAGAATGTCGCATTTCTTCTTGACCCTGATAATTACTGGATCGAGTTGGTGCAGAACGAAGGCTTTACTGGCAAAGCAAATTTCTAGACTAGGGTGTCGGGTTCCTACAGCCAGCCTCCATATCAGAATTCATTTCTTTGACACAACCTGAAGCATTGTATGGTGCACTTTACTGTTATCACATCAGGCCTTGCTTCTATATGTGATAAGACAATGATAGTGTCGAGTTGACTTACCAAGGTGCTGCTTCGGCCTACCTGCTTGTCGTTGAATCCTGGCTAGCCTGGTCACATACTAACCGTGATTGGCAACTCTAGCCTAGGTTTTGCGCTAAGATTTGGCACTGCAACCATTGACCCTTCCCATCTGCCGAGGCAGCACTTACCGAGTTAGGCAAGTCCAAGGAAGCGAGCAGTTGGGTGAACTTGATAGGAATCGAACAGCTTGGGTAGGCCTATCTTCACTCTTCCACTAGCACACTGGGCTGATTAGCATGGCTATGTAATACAGTTGAGCGTTGAGAGATGGAAGTTCTAGCCATGTCCCAGCGTAGCTCCTTACCTGATACTGAACGGAATGGGACCGAGGTGGAGATATCTGAGGGGAGCTTACTTGGTGACGGCTTGCCCATCGTGGTAGAACGTGTCGAGGACCCGATTCCGTACAATAATTCACCAAAAGAAGGCCAGGTTCGGGGTCTACAGATCCGAAATATCGGCCCATACTGATTATAGGCAAAGATTGGAGCTTTTCAAGTTGCGATTACGTTTATCCGCCATATTCATACTGTTGTTGAATAAGTATTTGATGCAACCAAAGGCCCTCAATTGAATCATCTTGTATCAAGTTCGAACACAGCATTTTGAATCAATACACGTCACAATGTCAAGTTCAATCCCCCATCCCTTCGATCCTCTCAGCGGAGAGGAAATTCGCCTCGCTACCTCTATTGTGCGCAAAGACCATGGCGATGCAGTCCACTTCCACGTCATAACCCTACAGGAACCGCGCAAGGCTGAGATGGTCGCTTGGCTTGCTAATCCCTCCAGCGGCTCCAGACCTCGACGTGTTGCAGAAGTCGTTATCATTGATCCCAGAGATGGCAAAGGCCATGTCTACGATGGTCTGGTTGATTTGAAGAGTCAAAGAATCACAAAGTGGGAGCGTGCAGAAGGACAACAGCCCATTGTGAGATCTCCCCTCTCCAAGAATCACTTGGAAAGTTGGCTAATTGACGACTGCCTTACAGCTCATCGTCGAAGAAATGCTCGAAGTCGAAGAAGCCTGTCGCAAAGACCCCCAGGTCATCGAGCAATGCCGAATCAGCGGAATCGCCGCAGACGAGATGCACAAAGTCTACACCGACCCATGGACAATTAGCCACGACCCTCGGTACGGCAGCAGCACACGCCTGTTCCAAGGCCTGATGTACTTCCGCCCAGATGTCGACAACTGCCAATACCAATATCCTCTTGACTTCCATCCGATCTATGATCCAAGGAAGAAGGAGGTTATCGCTATCGATATTCCTCGCGTTCGACGACCTCTTCAGAGAAACAAGGCGGTGGATTATCATCATCTGTATATCCAGAAGGAGGGCGGGTATAGAAAGGACTTGAAGCCGATTTACATCTCCCAGCCAGAGGGTGTTTCGTTCAATGTCAACGGGAGGGAGCTAGAGTGGCAGAACTGGAAGTTCCATATCGGCTTCAATTATCGTGAGGGCATTGTTTTCAACAACATTACCTTCAACGATAAGGGAAACGTCAGGCCAATCTTCTATCGCATGTCTCTTTCTGAGATGGTTGTTCCCTAGTACGTCATCAGCCGCCCTTCTTGACAAGTCTCACACTGACACCAATACTTAGTGGTCACCCCGAGCCTCCTCATCATCGCAAACATGCCTTCGATCTAGGCGAGTATGGTGCCGGATATCTGACAAACAGTCTCTCACTTGGCTGTGACTGCAAGGGTATGCTGCCTCTCACTCCTCAGCTGGTTCGCCACGCTAACGTTAAAGGTGCCATTCATTATCTCGATGCCGAGCTCCCAACCCAGACCGGTCAGATCCGCAAGATTGAGAATGCCATATGCATCCATGAGGAAGACGATGGCATTCTCTTCAAGCACACAGACTTCCGAGATAACTCGACCATTGTAACGCGTGCTCGGAAGCTTATCGTTCAGCATGTCTTTACTGCTGCTAACTATGAGTACGCCATTCAGGTATGCTGCATCGTCCAGGTAATGAGAGACAACTACTAACAGAATACAGTGGGTGTTCCATCAAGACGGTACCATCCAACCCGACATCAAGCTCACCGGTATCCTCAACACCTATGTCATGAACCCCGGTGAGGATCTGCAAGGCTATGGAACGCAAGTCAAGAAGGGTAAGTTTTGCAATGACAGCTACAATCCTCTGACTAACCACTACTCAGGTGTCAACGCTCATAACCATCAGCATCTCTTCCTTCTCCGCATCAACCCCAGCATCGACGGACATGAGAACACGGTTCACATGGTTGATGCCGTACCGTCTGATGCCCCAGTTGGCAGCCCAGAAAACCTCTACGGCAACGCCTTCTATGCTAAGCGTACCCGGCTCGAGACCACTGGCCAAGCTACCACAGACTACAATGGTGCTACGTCTCGCTCCTGGGACATTGTCAATGAGAACAAGCTCAATTCTGAGAGCGGCAGGCCTGTCTCATACAAGCTTGTTAGCCGAGACGTGCCGAACTTGATGCCCAAGGAAGGTTCTCTTGTATGGAAGAGAGCCTTCTTTGCTCGTCACGCTGTCCATGTGACGAAGTGTAGGCTATCCTCCACCCGTACATATTTATACCTCGTGCTGACCATTTTAAGATGCGGATGATGAGCTCTGGGCCGCTGGCAACCACGTCGCCCAAAGCTCCGGTGAACCTTCCAGAGGCCTCGGTGCTTGGATTGGTGACGGTACCAAGAGCGTCGCCAATACTGATATTGTCCTCTGGCACACATTTGGTATTACGCATTTCCCCGCCCCAGAGGATTTTCCAGTGATGCCAGCTGAGCCGATTACACTCCTGCTCAGACCCCGCCACTTCTTTACCTGCAACCCTGTCATGGACGTGCCTCCTTCTTACTCAGTCACTCCCAGCGAAGTGGCCGCTAAGAAGGCAGGATTTGATACGACAGATAAGGTTAGCAAGCTGGCGGCTATGAGTGACTCTTCGTGCTGCAAGCCACCTAAGCTGTAAGGTGTTGGGAACATGTATTTAAGGAAGGATGTTTTACGCTATGCAGGATTACTTAGTTTCGAATATAATCTACAATCATATCATTAAAGAACACGTAATGGACTACACTATCCCCAGTTTGACTTCAAATTCCGACTATCCATCACATCTATCCAATGAATCGCATACTTCGCGCACTGTTCCGTGTCATAGGCTTGCCAGATAGCTTTGGTCAGATCTTGCGCCACTACCACTGGCTTTGGTGGTAGAACTGTCTTCAATGTCTCCAGACGCTCGTGAAGAAATTGTCTCGCAGCCATGATTTCCGCATTTGCATCTGGATCTGGCTCTGGTTCTGACTCCTCTGGCAGTTCATCGTGAAGGCCGGCGAAGTCAAGGTAATTTATCATGTCGCAGTCCTCTAGACTGGAATCTTGGCTGAAGGGAACATCTCTAGGAGTAGTGGCCTTGACTTCGATGTGTTTTCGCCTAAGTCCAGTGCTAGCTGAGACACAGAGTAGTGGTTGGGTCATTTTGCAACCCGAGTCCGTAGGTAATAGTTTGAGTATGGCCACCAAGTTCAGTGCGATTGGGGTGATCCAGTTATCCCATAAAGCTTGAGCATCTTTCGCCTGTGACTCATTCAGTTCGTGTCGTCGTACGATGAGTTCTGGAAAAGTCTGGTACAATTGTAACAGGGTTGATTGACGGTAGGCTTCGGCAACGTTGAAGAGGTGCTGATTGGGCGTCTTCTTATCATTCGTCTCTCCAATAGTCTCACGACATTCCACATCAAGATCGCAAGTCTGCTTCTCTACCACAGCAGCTTCTTCAATGAGCTGCATGGCGGCGCTGATGTTAGCTGACGCAAACATATCTTGTGGTTTCCGGATCTTGCGTCGAAACTTGTGACAAAGCTTCATCGCCCTCATAAACAACTTATAACTGTCGCTTGATACCCCCGTCCACGGATGCGGAACATGTTCGACTGGGTCTGCCGTCACAGGGGCAGTGGTAGGAACCGCTTCCTCGACGTCGCCCATTTCTTCCATCTTCTGTAAGCTTTTACAGCTCGATGTCACCATCGACAATAGCATTTCGCAGTATAGCCAACTCTTGTTAAAGAAGGATAGCAATTGTCGTTGTTCGTCGGATAATGCATGCTTATTTTTGTTGACAGCATGGAGGATGGCTTTTGCCTCGCAGAGAAACGGCAGCCCCAACTGAGTGGCATTGAGCCAGCAGATACTGGTGCCGATTCCCATCAGAGAGAACAAGAGACTTGTAGGTACTGTATTGAATAGTTGGTGCGACTTGACGGTATGCAAGTCAGCTCTCATAATTTCAGCTGCAGCCTTCATGTTCGTTATAGAGGTCTGTCGCATCATTGGCACTTTAGCGGATAAGTGGGCGGCCGACATAGCCTGGAGACTGAGGTAAACGAGCTCGCAGTTGGACCATAAAGCGGCTGCAATTGTGCGGTTGAGGTTGACATCGGAATCGTAATTGGACCAGAGAGAACAGACATGGCGAAACCAGTATTCGATGAGCACAGATGGCGTATAGGTGATTGCATTTGGTGCCATTTCGAAAGTCAGTCTGCCAGGGTCAACTGTCGGTAAGGGCATATTGAAGTCAAAGGTCACGTTGCCAACTGAAATAGAGAGGGTTTCCGGAGCTGAAACTAGGTTGTTGTCGCTGTGTACAGACCCTAGGAAGTCGTCTCCCCATTGCAAGGGCGATACCGAGGACGTCATGTTTGATAGAGAGTATGTGTCGTGATTTTCGCTGTCGGTGCCGCTAAAAGTATGGCTTGCTTCCTCGTGTTCATGTTCCAGTTGATGTGAGAAGAAGTCGCCGTCTGTAGACATTGGAAATAAAGGTGACACAATGCCGTTGAGATGAAAGACTGACGCGTTTGCAGCTGTGCCAAAATCATCGGGGACAATTCCTGCTGCCGACCTTATGGAATCTCTGTCAGTGACAAGCGTATTCTCTGATCTATATGAGACCTGGGAATTTGTATCTGACTGAGCTTCCGTGGACCGTGCCGAAAGTGAACCCTCTGTTTGCGACTGACGATGTCGCGATTGAGACGGTCGAGTGCGCTTCTCATGCTTGGTAGACCACCGAACATCCAGCCGGTAACCACCGCATTTCTGACCACGCGCAGCGCATGACTTGCAAGTCGGTTTTGCCTCGTCGCATTTTGCCTATAAAGGATGAGTACGCATTGAAAGTACGGGGGTAGTTCCGATGCCTACATGTTTTGACCTGCATGTTACGCAACCGCCCCTGGAGCGAGCGACGCGGCCCTGACTGGGCTGATGAGGAGGCATTTTCTAGTGGAAGAGTAATGATAAAATTAAATACTTGCTCGATTCTTTATCTCGATGAGTTGTAGCAATGATGAATATGATAATAGATAGTGTCACAGCGTGGCTGTTGTTGGGTTCTGTCCGCTCAAGTTCAAGATATGGATCGGTAGAAGTTGAGATTCAGCGGTGTTACCCCGCAAAATGGGAGACTCGACCCTGTGACTGATTAGGGACTTGACAGTGCCTGTTATACGCCAGATACCGGATGAAGATAAGTGTTACAGGGGTCGTCCTCTGAGGGTTAGCGGTTGGCTACGCTGACTCTTAGAGTTCAGTAGCGGCTGATAAGCCTAGAACACCAATCACGTTTGGCTCAATCACTCACATCCTAGCATGGCACTGACGGGGGCGGAAGTGCGTCGTCTCGCCCTAAACCCCTCTGTAAAAATTCCCTCTTTTGTTCTAATTGCCTCGGCTGAATGGATGCAATTTCGTCACAAGCTCAACAAGAGGGGTACGGATGATAGACTATAAATGACTTACGCCACTGGCCTATCGGTTGTAGATAGCATCATCGCCTTGCATCTCTTATCTTATCAGCCCAAACATCTTTACAATGTACATTCAGCCCATCCCCATGTGTATGTGATCGTCCAATCATTCATTGCCTGCTGCTTCACGTCGCTGATTACTAGCAGGGTGGGGAAGCAATGACAACTGGGCTTATCTAGTTGTCGATGATGAGAGCCGCGACGCTCTGATTATAGACCCTGCGAACCCTGAAGAGTAAGCGCTTGATCTGGAATTACTTGAAACCCTACTGACGAGGCCTTCAGGGTCGTTCCCGTTCTCATGGCAGCTATTCAGTCAAACAAACTCAATCTTGTCGCGGTAGTAAACACTCACCAGTCAGTCGTCCAGCCAATGTTGCTTAACAGTGCTTCTCTCTAACATCGTCTAGCCATTGGGATCACGCTGGTGGTAACGAAGAGATTGTATGTATCGCATCCTCTCCCTTTCGACTGTTCAGACTAACGAGAAGACTTAGCTAGCTGCACTAAACAACCCAAAACTTGACATTATTGGAGGCAAGGACTGCGGAGGAGTCACGAAAACTCCAAGTCATGGTGAGACTTTCAAGCTTGGGAACATCACGATAACTAGTATATATACGCCGTGTCATACGCAGGATAGTATCTGCTTCTTCTTCCAAGATGGAGATCAAAAGGCAGTCTTTACAGGCGACACCTTGTTCACTGGCGGTTAGTCACCCAGAGCCTGGCAGAAATACAAATTTCTCACAGAGGTATGACAGGATGCGGGAGATTCTTTGAAGGGACTGCAGAAGAGATGCATGTGGCGCTGAACAAGCATCTTGCATCGCTTCCAGACGATACGGTCGTCTTTGTAAGTTACCCGATCCAGTGTCAACCTAGCGTAGGAGTTACACTAACTATATATAGCCCGGTCATGAGTATACTCGAAGCAATGCCAAGTTTGGAATATCTGTATCACAAAGCGAACCAGTGCAGCAGCTTCTGGGCTTCTCTGAGGCAAACCCTGTCACGGTGGGCAAGTACACGATCGGACATGAAAAGGTTGCGCGAACATCCTATGGAGTTAATTGAGATCAGATGACTGATTTTTGTTGTGTAGCAACATAATGTATTCATGAGACTGGATGTAAGCTCTCTCATTAAAAGGGCTGATATTTCAGCGCTGACCAAACAGGATCCCGACATCCAGAGGGCGACAGGAGAGACAGACCCGGCCAGTGTTATGGAGAAGCTTAGAGAGATGAAGAATGAGTACAAGTGAGTAACTATGATCTGACGTTCGGGGCAAGGGAATTTTTGTTTACATCTGACAGAGAACCTGAGCCGAAGCTATGATGCATGAAATCCCATCGGATACGTATACTATCAGGGGCATTGCATCAAACGATGATCTTTTGATCTACACTACATCTTCAATAGTCCCTCTCAATTCTGGCCATTTCATCTACATATTCTCTATCTCGTCATAATTTCGTCAAGACTCTCAATCTACCCTGTGAACCTCAGAAACAAATCTTGGATTACGTAACTCCCATTGGCAGGATAATGCACGTGCACCGTCAGCTCTCTGATCAACATATGAAACGCTGCAGGCAACAATCATCACCATCTACCTTTTTCCTCTTCCACCATCACATTTCACTGAGGAGCAACAATGGATGATTCTTCAGAGATGGGACGGGTCCCAGATCCAGACCCAGACCAGCCAGAGATTCTGGAAGCAGGTTCGTCGCTGTGCAATTCTTGTCCTCCGCCTGACGCGATCAGGCTGAAGCAGAAACACTGAGACAGATAGAAGAAGCCGAGCAGTATCCCTCACCGTACCAGTGGTCGGATTATTACCCCATAGATATTCCATCGACGCCAACCTCTCCCACATTTTCACCGATGTCGCCGTCGTATTGGTGGCCTGATAGAGTGGACGATTCTCTGCCTCATTGGAGAGACCATGTGGACGAGATGGCGTTGTTGCCTAATTCGCGACCACATGCCCTCATACCGCTAGGGTTCCAAGATGAAGATTATAGCGAAATGGTTGAGAGGCCTGTTCCGCTTTTCCAAAAGTCTCCATGGTTCAACCTTCCCCCCAATATTCGACGGGACATTCTGCGGCTGGCCTTTGGTGATCGCCGTCTTCACATGAGCTTATCCTTTAGAGAAAAGCATACATCTGATGACGAGAAGGTTGAGTCCTGGCAGTGGTTCGGCGGCATTTGCCATCGGGGGGAGACGCTTAGGCTTCGAGACGTAGCCGGGGGGCAGCAAAGGTTTTGGGAAGATGATTGCAAGCATGGTGATATCGAGCCCCGAAATACAAGTATGATGAGCTGGCTGCTCTCGTGTCGGCAGAAGTAAGCAATCAGCAGCAGGGCACAGCTCGAAGAGAATACTGACTGAGCTTTGCAGCTATGCTGAGATGATTGACCTTCTATACTCGAGTAACACGATTGCCATGCCTGGCGAAGCAATGATATCGCATATCGGGCAGTTGGTCCTCCCTCAGAGGCTTGCTGCAGTCACTTCTCTGGAGATCAGGTGGCCTCTTCAGAGAGAAAATGAAGCTTGTGCCGGACACCATGATGAGCACACAAACGCTATACGCAGGCTGCTCCATCCATACCAGCTGGATGTTAATCAGCTGAGCGTTGTGCTGGATATTCTGTCATGCACAAGCTTCCCCAACCTTCGGAGACTATGCATATCATTTGAGAAAGAGTACAATGAGCGTCATATCTCCAACCCTGAGGTGCACGATGTAGTTGTCAACAAGCTGCTGCAGTTTGTCAAGAGCAAACCCAAGTTTAAAGAATGTGTATTTGCGCTACCAGAGAAGGTTTTTCGTACAATAGTCAAAGATGTTGAACCTGTGGACCTTGATCCGAGGAACCCTCCAGGACCTTGCAACCAGGTCTGGTGCGCTTCCGATGGGAAGCTGCATAGCATGCATCCTCCGTTCGTCAACAGCTATCCCGCTCTTCCGCCTTATTTAAAGAACAGAGAGGATTCTGGATTCTGGTTATTCAGAATAGACTGAATGGATATGGCTTGGCTCTATGGGAAGACGTCTGGACCAGGTTAGCCAGGATGTTCTTAATTTGTGTGACACAAATATCGCGGGATTCGGATCAATGGCCAATATAATACTTCGGAGAGGATTCCAGGACACGAGAATGGACTGAACGAGAATGAAAATTTTAGTCTACGATATCATTTTGTGGATTGACTTGTGTGACGGGCAGTCCTGTTTTGCTCACAGCTCAAGGCCTACTCCGTCCGTGTTGCCCCCTCTTTTCTCGTTGCTTCTCTCACTCAGCCCCGGCATCGCAAAAAGCAGGGGTCTTGCCTTGAATTTTCGTTGACGAACAGCCAAACAACTGAGACATAGCAAGCCTCACCTTGAGGAAAAACATTATTGCACCAGTTTTCGTTATTCCGTCTCCGAAGCCTCCTCTTCAATCCTTACACAGTGCAAATCCCTACTATATCGGGACTAGCCGTCGATCGTAGATCACTAACCACATAAATCTAGATAAACCCAAGGTCTGATGCCCCGCCCTTTGTTCTGCACGTCCAACTCACCCCTACATCACCATGCCCGATGATTCTCGGAAGTCCTCTCTAGAGGCTCTCGCCCAACCAGAAGCCCTCCTACGCTCGGCCTGTACAGAGTGTCATCGGCGGAAGCAGAAGTGCAACCGTCAATGGCCCTGTAACAACTGTCAGAAGCGAAAAGTCGCCGACCAATGCCGTTTCAGGGATGATACTAAGGCCGGCCCCGGGGACGATGCTTGGTCCGCTTCTGTTGAGGTGAAGAGAAAGAGGGATCAGGCGGGACAGGACGACGAGAGCGATTCGGATGTTGGCGATGTTCTGGAAGCGATTGGATACAGTCGTCTTCATATGTTGACAAAGCTCGATCAGGACGTAGGTCTTCGACTCTTCTCTTCCCCTCTTCTTCATCGTACGTTTTCTCACATGACACAGTCAGGAAGTACAAAACCTTCTGAGCAGTACAGACTTGACCCAAAGAACAGCGCCCAATTGAAGCGTGCTTTGGATGTGCTACCTCCAAGACCCGTCGTTGGTAAGGCCGCCAATACTGTCGCGTGCTCATTATCTTACAGTTAGCAGATTGCTTAGTCCAGAGCTTTCTTGACGTGGTCAACTTTTACTACTACATCGTCTACCCACCCTACTTCAGCAAAGAGTATGCCCGCTGGTGGGATGACTACACCAAAGGTCGAGCTTGTGGCGTCCAGTGGACGTGCTTGCTACTCATGGTCTGCGCTTGTTCCGTGCAGCATGTTGATGGCCAGCTCCGAGCCAAGATCGAAAGTGATGTTGGTGAATCTGTCAAGGAACTGACGCAGAAGTATCACGATGCTGCTCGAGAGCTTCACAGCGCCATCCCTGTAGGCCATGGGCATGTTTACACAGTCCAGTACCTCTTGCATTCGTGCTACTGGTTCAAGGCTGAGGCGCGATTTGCAGAGTGCTGGCAAGTTTTGGGTGCTGTGGTACGAGAAGCCCAGATGATCGGTACGTCGAGGTCAGTGACTGAGTAGCGTAGTGCTAACTACTGCCTAGATCTTCATAAGAAGCCCGAAGGCCAATTGCCAGGATTTGAGCTGGAGATGAAGAGACGACTATGGTGTATCGTTGACTCCTGGGACTGGTAGGTATTGTCTGCAAATTGTACTCCGAGAATACTAATTGATTACAGGCTTGTTTCATCACTCTTGGCTCGTCCAATGCTCATCGACCGTGCGGAATGTGACGTCGGTCTTCCGAGTCTTACCCTCGAAGACTACCCAGCTTCTCCCATGTTGCATCTCAAGCTTCAGTCAGAACTTGTTAGCCTCATATTCAAGCGCTTTGGTCCACCGAAGATTCTTACTGAGCCTGAAGAGATCCGAGACTATCAGGCCATATTAGAAGGCTTCATGAAGACCTTCCCGCCTGAGTATGCTCTGGATCACCCCAATACCCCTGCTAACGAGGATCTGCCGTGGATTGCCCTGCACCGTCACTACATGCATACTTGCACCCTCTCCATTGCTCTTGGGCCTTTCAGAGGCTACATGGCCAAGTCGATGAAGAGGTCAACGGCGCCTCCTATCGATCTCGAGTTCCGAGAGACAGGCATTGACTACGCCCTTCGCCTCATGGATGCTGTGCACCGTTTCTTCGAGTACGTCTGGACCAGAGACACGACCTTCCACTTCGTGCCATTCTGTATCTTCGACACAGCGGCTCTTCTGTGCTCAGTCATCATTCACGCTGAGGATGGAATCGTGCCACGTCGCGAAGAAGTCATCGGCTCGATCGCCAGAGCCTTCGCGACTCTGAAGAAGCTGCGCACTGCTACTAACACAGCCAAAGCTCCCTACGACGTGTTACGACGGCTGATTAAGAAACTGCCGTCGACCGCCGGGATGCAGGCTGGCGATGCTCACAAGAAGCGTCGATTCGATCAACCACCAGGGGCCAATGGTGCTATTCCTGTTCCTGCAGCCGCCAGACTGCCAAGCTCTCAGGTAGCCCAAATCGCACCAGCGCCGGTACAGGTATTGTCTCAGCCTGTGCAGCATGCTCTGCCCGCTGCCCAATATCAACCATACAGCAATCCACCTCCAGTGGTTCCAGCAGTGCAGGCTGGTCAGCAGCCTTCAATGCCGTTTCCTCAGAATATTCAGGACCATCAGTTTCAGAACTACACCTACGCTCAGCAGATGGATGCCACTGCATCAAATGGGCAGGCCTGGCCTGACCATACCACCAGTAGCATGCAGAGCTTCACTGCTGGGCAACCACAGTTCGAAATGGGATGGCAGACAATTTCTGAGGCTGAGCTGGGTGATCTCGCCATGCTGTGGAATTGGCAGAGTCTGAACTTGGGATTCACCACCAACCCTATCTACCAGAATCGGGAACAAGCCCAATGATAGTCTTTGTTGCGATTTGCCATTGGGGCAACCTTGGTCATTCCTTAGAAGGATATCTTCGTCATGGTATAAGGGTCTGGGTAAGGTCTTATGGGCCTTATGGCAATTTGGTATAACGAAACTTTGCTTCAACTTGTGAATACCATCAAAAGTTCTTATCCCAGTATTCTCTTTGCAAAAGTAGATTTCCCGACTTTACTTTTGCCTTTGCGCACCGCTTGGACCTCACAGTATCATTCCAGACGTTCCAAGTACGGTAATTGTTAGGTAAGGTCTGTCTTGGGTATTCAAGCCCCTAGAAGCACTATTATATTAAACCTAAAGTATATTTTCTAACCTTATAACTAACTTATAAACTTAACTCTACTATTACCTTTTAATTGCCCTAAACCTTCTTTCTAACCTTTATTTTTAATTATATTAATATATATATTATTATAAAACTTTCTTTAGTTAGGTTAAGCTTTTCTTATATATTAGTATTTTTTAATAATTTTAATAGCTATATACTATACTTAAAAGTCCTTTTTAGCTAAATTATTATTTATACCTTAAATATAAATATAATCTAAGCTAGATTTTACTATAATAGCTATATAGCCTTTTCCCTTTTATTTTTCTTTTTTACTTTTATTTTCTTCAAGGTAAATAATATACTTTTTTTTTAT